AATGCACACAAGTGAGTATGGAAGAAGATATGAATATGAACAAGAAAAAGCAACTCAGACACGATGTTCACAATGTTATTTAACCGTGGATTCCTATCAAAGTTTTCCTTCAAAGATATTTATTGTCGGCGTAACCGAGTTTTTCACTCAGAACCAAACAAGATTTATTAACAATGAAGCACTCTACCAGGTAACAACAGCACTGTGGTGTTTCGTCCTATTATCAGGTACCTATTTGACGCACAAATACATGTTTTTTTTTCTTTACACGGAAAACCCAAACGCTTTTTTCATAGATCTTACCTACAGCTCATCAGCATTCTACTTTTACTTTTATGGTGACGATAGAGTATTTCTGAATAAGCCGCTCCACGTAGTGAAGATATAAATACAATGTAGCTACCTCTCAAGCCATTAAAGGCCATCGTCCACTTATCCACATTACAGCAACTATCCACCGTCCTAAAATGTCCGTAGTAAACGCGAGGCGACAACTGGGTTCTGCTTTAACATTATAATGTTAGTTTTAAAGTGCACAATGCAAAATTGGACGTCGTCCAACTTTTCCATGGCTAAGACAAAGGCAGTAAAAGCTGTGCAGATAGCAGTTTGGAATTCATAAGAAAATAAGGTAGCGTTATAATTATGTTTCTCGCCTGACCTAGAAGCGATCCCTACTGAATCTTGAGCTGTTCGCTGATTGCTCGGAATTGAGTTACGACTTAGCGATGCTTCTGATTGCGAACGGAAAATCGAATGACGAACTGGGTGTCGTCTACGATTTTCGCTTTATGGCTCAACTGGTTTTCAAAGAGAAAGAATACGCAATAATGCAATTGATTCGTTAGTTGATACATCGAAGAATGAAGATTTGGCTAATACACCTTATCCGCCCCCCGTCTTTTATTTGCAAACAATTTCATCACTTATAAGCATATAAAACAGCAGCTACTGGAAGCTTTGTACTATCCAAAATTTTGTACATGTTAGTAATTTATTATTTATAGCTTTTTATACGACCAGTGCACAATGTTCTATTTTATGTTCACGATCAAATATTTACAATGCCGTTAAGCATAAATTACTTTTGAAGAATATCGTGAATATGGAAACATTCAAAACAAAATTTCATTAGTACGTTTGTCAGTATGTCTGTCTGGCCACCCAGCAATCAGACAAAATCAAAGGAAACAGTGAAAAGAAAATAGAAAGGAAAGATTAGAAGAGCAAAGAAAAAAAGCGCAACTGCTCGTATTAAAAGGCTGGTATAATTTATAAGCATAATTGGACGGTTGCGTTTCATGTATTTTTGGTAGTCTAAACGTGCCTAAGTAAATTTTGATCTCAATGCGTGCCGCGGCCTGTAGTGCTTGCGAACTTGTGTAGTGCACTGGCTCACGCAACAAAGGGTTGCCATGAAATTCCGTTTATTCGTAGCGTTGCCGGGCCTGTGATTCCCCAAGTAAGGTACATCAAAGTAACTGTCTCACTTGAGACATACCGTGGGGCATTGGTTATTGTTCTTAAGGACCAATACTTGCGAGGTTTGCATGTGCGACTTGGCTAGAAAACACCAAGCTCCACATGCGTAGGATCATTTGGTAAAGCCGAACTTAATTTAGAAAAGTGGCTGGCATTAATTTGGTCATGCGATCACACAGATATCAAGAGCACTTAAAAATCCACCTTCATAAGATTTCTCCATGATAACGGGGTCATCTAGTGCTAGGGGCCGTCATTTCTTCAATTATTGTCCTTGAAAAGGGCGCTCTATTTTGAGGTTATATTACAAATACCTATTTGCGTAAAATCGTTCCTGCTTTTGATTTTCATCATCTGTTTCATCAGCCTGAAATTTCTTACAAGTCAAAAAGAGAACATAACTAGGAGAGCGCTAAAAGCAACACTTAGTTACAGAAATTCAGGCGACAAACAATTCCCGTAGCTGCAGCGTCTTACCCGGTATTTTGTTTGAATTTACGAGGGATAATAATAATAATAATAATATTTATAAGGCCAAAATACAAAACATGGGCAAATAAATATGAAAAAACCACAGAAGGCATCGCCTGTGTGTGGTTTATATCTTAATAACTAACAATCAATCATATATGTGTATAACAATTATTGTTAAATCTAAAAGGTATTAATGTAATTGGAATTTTGTAGTTTTAGTTTTCTATATAATTATGTATAGTCATTCGCTGCACATTACTAACCCAGTCTTGCAATTTTCTTCTAAATTTTTTTCCAAAATTAAGTATTTTTATTTCGTTTGGTACTACATTATATAATTTAGCTGCTAAGAATTTAAATGATTTTTTGAATACTGTTTTGTGTGGTCTTTGGATATTAGATGCGCCTATTCGAAATCGTGTGTTATGCTCGTGTTTATAGGATTTTTTCTTTTTATTACAATACTTATGGTATAAGGTGGTGGCATGTAAGAAATAAAGTTGTCTTGTATCAAGTATCCCTGTTTCTTGATATAAGTTGTTCGTTGGATATAATCTTGGCTTATGGAAAATGGCTTTCAAAACAGTTTTTTGTGCTATATTCAGGCCAGAAATATATGTCTTGCAGGCGGCACCCCAGGCTGTGATGCCGTATATTATATGGGTTTCAACTAAGGCATGGTATAGGATTCGTAGATAACTTTCTGTAAGAATGTTAGCAAGCATTTTGAGTTTATAGGCAACATTTCTAATTTTTTTGATAACATATTTAATATGGTTATCCCACCTTAGATGTGAGTCTATAAATATTCCAAGATATTTCAAAGTGTTAACTCTATCGATTTTGATCTTTTGGCCATGATAATTAACGGGAATTTGTTCGAAGGTAGGTAAAAATTTTGAGTAGGATGTAAATGCAATAAATTTTGTTTTGTGAAGTTAACTGTTAAAATTTTAGTATCAAACCAGTCAATGATCCTTATAAAATCCTGTTCAGCTATTTGCTTCAGTGTGCTCCAGTCATCAGCTTTATATAATACGAGGGTGTCATCTGCAAAACATATAATCTTTCCAGAACTGTTAATTTTGAATAAGTCATTTAAGTAGAGACTAAATAATAGTGGGCCTAGTACTGTTCCTTGAGGCACACCACACTTGATGTACATTTTTTTACTGTAAGTGTTAGTGATTTTGACAGTCTGTGCCCGACTTGAAAGGTAATTTTTTAAAAGGATTTGTGACGCTCCCCTAAATCCCAATCTTTCCATAACTTTCAGAAGCTCGACATGGTTAACCGTATCAAGGGCATTTTTTAGATCAACAAAGATACCAATAGTAGGTATCTTTTTGTTGACATTAGAGTTAATTTCATCCATTGCAGCCAAAATTGCATCTGTAGTAGATTTTCCTTTTCTAAATCCATATTGGTCAGAACATATAATTTTGTTTTTGTCCAAAAATTGTAATATCCTTTTTGTAGTAATTTTTCGAAAATTTTGGCTATATTCGATAGTACTGATATGGGTCTATAATTTGATGTTTCCATTCTGTCACCGCTTTTATAAACAGGAGTAATAACAGTTGTTTTAAATGCAGCAGGACAAATTCCAGATTGGAAACACCAATTAATGACGTAAGAAAGTGGTTCGGCTAAGTTGTAGGCTATTATTTTTAAATGGTCAGCTTTGATACCATCTACACCAGGACTTTTTTTGGTTTTAAGTGATAGGACAGCTTCTTGTACTTCAATCGGACTAACGCTTTCTAAAAAGAATGAATTGGGAAGTTGGGTTTTTGTGAACTTTTCGTTCGAAACCATTTTTTTAATACTGGATGCTAAATTTTCTCCACCATTAGTGAAAAAATTTAAGTATGCATCGGATATTTGTCATTTATCTGTCAATATTGTTCCATCACGATTCTTAATTTCATCAATATTTGGCTTTTCTTGAACGTCTTTGTTAGTTAAGTGATCGACAACTGACCACAGTTTTCTTGGATCAGATTTGGCATCTTGTAATTTTTTTAGATAGAATTGGCGTTTTACTTCTCTAACTAAATTGATAAAAATATTTTTAAATCCTTTATATTTATGGGAGGTATCTGCACATGGCGATGCTTTCATTATTTTGTATAGTTCCTCTTTTTTGTTGGCAGACTTTATCAAACCTTTAGTTATCCAGGGATTCCTGCTTTTGTCAAAATGTTTAATTTTTACTCTGTTTGTACTACATTCAATTAAATATTTTATGCGTTCAATGAGTGTGTTTGCAGCATCATTAACATTCGTTGCACAGTACACTGCTGTCCACGATTCTAATTTGATATTTGCAAGTAGTTTTTTATTATCGACAAAACACCTAAATTTCACTGTTTCATTATTGGAGATGGATCTACTTTTATTTTTTTCTGGTGATGATATAAGTATTACAGTGGGTAAATGATCGGTAATATGGTTTTCAACAATTAACGGTATGTACCGAAAGAAATTTGAAAAATGTTTGATGAAACAATGATCAATGCAAGAACTGGAACTATTATTGACTACTCTTGTTGGTAAATTTATATTTGATATGAATCCATTGCTCTGCATTACAGTGAGGTATTTGTTTACTAATTTGGTATGTTGGAGTATATTAATATTCATATCTCCTATTATGATGTGGTGTGGCTGTATGGCATTTTTGTTATCTAACAAAAATTTTTCAAGATTTTCTACAAATGTATAAGGGTTTGATGATGGTGGTCGATAGATAGATGTGACTTTTACACTTTTGTTATTAATTCTCAATATCAAATCCAACACTGTGATACCGTCATCAAATTAACAAAATCATATCTGTAGTTGATATCATTTCTTACATATACTACCACCCCATCATTCTGGATGTCTTTTAAGTTTTGCATATAGAAACATAGTAGGCCGCGCGGATCGAACGTCAGTACTGAATCTTAACCTCACTCTTTAGTAAACTTAAATTTAAAATTCCACAACAAGTGTTCTCACTACAGTGAATTTTTAAGTGTCACCAAGTCATTAGAAAAATGGAACTCAACCGAGAACATTTTCGCGCCATAATTTATTACAAATTTCAGAGAAAATTATCGCAACAAGAATGCCTTGCTGAGTTACTGTCTGTTTTCGGCAACGAAGCACCACATCAGTCGACAATTTCCCGTTGGTATGGAGAATTCAAACGTGGACGGGTGAGTCTTAGCGACGATCCCGGGGTGGGTGCACCAAAAACGGCTGTCACCCAGGAAAACGTCGATGCTGTGCGCAAACTCATCATTGAAGATAGACATGTGACATACCACGAGATTAAGGCGTCCTTGAAGATCCCAAAGACCTCAATTCAAAAATATTTACATGAAGAATTAAGAGTAAGAAAATTGGTTTCTCGTTGGATACCCCACCTGTTGACTGAAGAGCAGAAACCAGCCAGGGTAAATTGGTGTCAAAAAACGCTTGACCGTTTCAATTCCGAAAAATGAAAAATGTGTACAGCATTACACATTAGTGATGTTGAATCGTGGATTTACTGTTGAACCAGAAAATAAACGACAGTCGGCTGTTTGGATGTTCCAAGGTGAAGAAAGGCAACAAAAGTCATCCGTTCTCGAAGTGTTTCGAAAAAGATGGTCACGACATTTGTGTCAAAAGATGGTCATATTGCAGCAATTTCTCTTAATGAGCAAAGGAACTGTTACTGCGGATTGGTATACCACCATTTGTTTGCCAAAATTCATCACCGAGCTTCGAATAATCAACCCCGATAGAAGAATCATCCTCCACCAAGACAATGCAAGCTCGCAAGCCCAAAAAACAAGGCAGTTTTAAACGGAAGAAAACGTGGAATTATTGGACCATCCTCCATATACTCGTAGTCCCGATCTAAATCCTAACGATTTCTCTACTTTCCCGAAAATTGAAAACAGTCTGCGTGGTCAAAGGTTCAAGTCACCAGAAGAAGCAGTTGAAGCATTCAAAAATGCCGTTTTGAATCTGCCAGCAAACGAGTGGAATAATAATCGAAAATTCTGTCTAGCGCATGCAGATGTGTATTAATCTTCGTGGAGAATACTTCGAAAAACAATAAAGTCATTCAAAACTACCTACCGTGTTGTTTTATTTCCATATGCAAAACTTAAAAGACATCCCTCGTATAGCCCTCTAGAATACGCGCATATGAGTAGATTACTTAAGTTAAAATGGAGAATATAAAGTTTGTTCGCATTGTTTGAGGTTACGTATAACTTCGTGTTTTCTTTGTAAAAAGAGTTTATACGAGGCTTTATTAAAGGTAGAAGATAAAGATAATCCTATGCAAGCCTGAGTTATTACTTAAAAATTAGTATAATTCGTTCTTAACGAGATATTAAGGGAGATTTGATTTTTAGAAATTTGAGACAGTACATTTGAAAATTAGTCCTTTTAGCCCTACAAAACGAATTGTAATGTGATCGTAAAGGTACCACCAGGATGCTTTGTAGTTTGTATTCATCATTATATTTCTCAAAACGTTGGATATGTTGACATTGAGTTCAACACAACATTGTTGTCGTGTATCGTTCATCGGTTTGTCACTCTGCCTAGCAATGTACTCATCAGTCGAAAAAGCACGGATATAACCATAAGGTCCCTATCACTTATGGTTTTTATCGATCTGCTCGTAAGTCTATTAATCCTTTTGTGTTTATTAGTTTGTCATTCTATCAGTCAAACTGCTGTTTGTTTGTCGGTATGTCTCTCCAACTTACGGTTGCTGTAACTCTGGGTTCATCATTTGTCTGCCGATCTATCTGCTGGTATGCCTATCTATAGTCAAAATCACGAAATATGACTATTACGTCATATCATAAGTTGTACCGAAGTAATCAATGCGTACGTCGATGATAAAATCACGATGTCAGGAACGTAATGACAACAAATTTATATTATGATTTTGCGAAGCTAGGTTATTTCACTGATTATTTTTATTGTCATTTTATTTCATGATTTTAAGTGAAACCTTAATAATAATTTTAGTGGGGAGTTTTTGTTTTGAAGAAAACAGTTATGAGTAGAATACCTTAAGACAGGAACACCAAAGTCCAAAGTATTATTCGAAAACAACCTAACCTAACTACTCATCTTTCAAATATGATCGATCATGCTACAAAAACATCGCCTATCGTTGTCGGATACATGCAAATTAGCAATACAGTTTGTTTAGACAAATTCTGTTTGTCTCTGTCTAATATATCTGAAACTTCATTGAAAAATATTCCTACAAATCGCTGGCGTTAGTCTTTGCTACAGACTAAAATCGTAATATCGTAATCGTCATTTTTCGTGATTTCGACTATATCCGTTCATCTGTTATTATGTCTGCCAGTCAATCTAACTGGAAGATGATAATGGAATGATAACCCTACAATAATGGTTTTTCCAACAGTTCCTTGGACATTGTTTTTTTGAACGAAAATCCGAATATATTACTGTAAGAACGTTCTGTCAATTAGTGAGCTCGCAGCGCTTGATGTCAATGACCAAATAATCGGTCAGAAGGTTTGAAGGCTACATAAAATGCCGATTGGCTATGGGGTGCAGAGATGCGATTTTAGATTCGTAGAATAATTATATCCAACGGGCGATTTCACAATTTTGGTGAAAACAACAAGTACCAGCGATCATCGTAGTACATCTGCCCAAATATAGTTAGTGACAAAAACAGGTAAAAACCTAGGTATTTTCATTAGGATTCAAGAAGTGACTTTGAGAGGGGTCGAACTGTCGGGTTGCGTGACGCCTGTCTATCGATAAGAGAAGTTTCTAGGAGGATCAACAGATCCTCATGCAGTATACGAGGGATTCTGGGCATCCCAGAGGGACCTGAGAGCTAACCAGTGATTTGAAGAGCATGGAAGGATGGTTGGTATGAGTACGGTATATCGTCGAATACGACAGTTTGTCCTTTTGGTCACATTGGGTGCTACCTCTCACAGCTGAATATCGGCGTAACCGTTTGCTCTGGTGTACAGAGAAAGAATAAAATAAGGTGCTCCTTAGTGGTGAATCCCGCTTCTGTCTGGGGATGCTCGATGGTCGGGCAAGAATGAGAAGCCGACGTGGTGAAAGTCGTGTGACCCACAATTTGACAGCGTCACGTTCAATACACCATGGGAGTTATGGTATGGGGTGCTATTGCTTATGGTAGAAGATCACCACTAATTTTCATCAGAGGCAATATGACAGCTAGATGTTATATTCAGGAAGTAGTAGAGCCTCATTTTATTCCATACCTAAACACTATCCACAACCCGATTTGTCAGCAAGACAATGCCAGACCGAATGTTGCCAGATCATCGTTGCCTTCATGGATCAACATCGCATCATCTGTTTACCTTGATCAACACGATGAGATACCCCAACAGGATATCAACCACCTTATCAGCACAATGTCCAGGAGTGTATAACGAATCGTGGATTCTCTACACATTATTGAACCAGTTGACGACTCGAGCTGAAAATGTAATTATTTTACTAGTAAGGGACACTGAACATATGTGCCAAAAATTATTAAAATCGGATAAACACGTTAACCCTTTTTGTCACTTTATAATATTCTATATTTTTAAATCTCATTTAAATGCATTTGCATGTTGCAAGGCCCAAAATAGCGACAGTTTAAAAAAAAACAAAAAGTGTTTGTTTCATACCGGACAAAGCTGTTTAGTGTTTGTTTGTGTCATTTTAAACATAAAACGGTTATTATGAAGTTTTCTCTAATGTTGGTCGTTTTCGAGATATGGTATAAGTGATTTAATATTTGAAGACCGCAAAATAGGCGACCAATGTGAGAAAAAAGAAAATTTTAACGTTTTCAAAGTTTCTAGAGTATTCTACGAACACCCGTTAATGATATATCGAAGCATTTCGGAGAGTACTTCAATTGTAAGCTTTCTTTAATTGTTAACCAAACGCGCCTTCAATGTATATTCTGCATGAAAGAGAGAGAGAGATAGATCTGTCAAGGCTGGTGGTCACCCTATTTTTGTATACCAAAGCAGGTTAACTCTGCATTTCTCGTCCTCGTACAGGATATACATTGAGCGCGTGCTTGATTAACAATTAAAAGACGAAGGCCTATAAATCGCAAAGCTCTCGTCATCTTTTTATTAATGGGTGTTTGAAGAATGCTTAAGAACCCTTGCGACATTATAAGCTTTGTATTTCCACATTTCCTGTGTCGAAAATGGCCTAGGGACCTTTTTTGATCAGAATGCTTATGCGAAAAACCGAAACAGAAAATTATTCCTGCAGCATTATACGAAATTTTAAAATATTTTATGTCATAATACTAAATCCAGCAAGTTTACGCAACAAGTGTTTTCAGAATTTTGGTGAGCATTCCAACCGATACAAATACCAGCGACTATCAAGAACTTTTGACAAAATGAACTTTTTGCTGTCGGTAGTAGCGGCTGTCAAACTGAAGCAATCTTCAAAGAATCGATGCATTTTTTCTCTCTATACCGGGTTCATATCTTACTTCACCGAATTTTCATCTCAACATTTTGCTAAAAATTATTTTGACGAATAAAAAAACGTCGAAAACCGCACAACTCGCCGATACTAGAACAAAGAACACACTATCCAGGCACTACAAACTCATCCCCAGATCAAGAATAAGCATTAGCAGCGTGGCACATACCGTTGTATCGCGTCGTGCATTTTTGGTTACGGCGACTATTTTAGCCGACGCCGCGGATAGCGTCGGTTCCGTCGCGGCGCTGTTAAGCCGCGTCGGCGTACGGATGCCCCCTCCGCCCCTCTGCAAGCCCCCGCTGGCCAACCACATGGCTTATTTGGGCGACGGCGGCGGACGCGCCTTACATGGACGCTTAGCGCGTCCAGACGCCAAGCCGAGTTCCTGGCAGCGGCGGGCGCACTAAGGGTTGAAATATTAGGGGAAGATTGCACAAATTGGTTAAGGCTTTCGCGGCCAGTTGATAAACTGCTGTCCTGATTCGGGTCTAAAGGACGTCGTCGGTTGGAATTTCTCAACGTTTCGGTCTACATCCAGCATCCACGGTTTTTAGACCCGAATCAAGACAGCAGTTTGAGAATATTTCAAATGATTAAAATGACTTTTCCTACTGATACTATTAGACACAAATTTAAGATTTGAATGTCATATTATGAATAAACTCAAATTATAATAATGACAATAAATCGCCATTTAGGGGGCGAAGCATAGCAATACAATTGATCAAAAAAAAAAACAATTAGGGATACAAAAACATGAAAACATTTGAAGATACAAGTGGATATGTATATTTTTTTAAATTGCTTATTTTTCCATTAAACTAACCTTAAAGGCAATCTTTTATTCTATGATTACTTTGTTGCAAAGACAAGATAATAAACTAATTAAACTATATATTTAAAATGTCAATTAAGTAAAAAGTCCCAATGAAAAATATTTGAGGTCAATTTTCCCCATACAATAAATTTGTTACATGACACCTTGTGTCTTTATTTGACGAGTTACAAGTTAAGAATGTAGGTATATGAAAATACTCGTATGACGTATATAACACATAAGTGAAGGATTTTCAATATTTCAAATGTTAGAAGTATAAATTAAGACAGCTACAGAAGCAAAAGAATGTTATATTGGAATATTTGTGTGAGGTGACAGATGCATTTTAGCAACTGATTTATGTACATACATTCAAAATAAATTTTTCATATGTCTTTTAAATTTGTCGTATGACAGTAATTTTGTAAAAAATAACGTTGTAGGTGAAGCATTTACGAAGGGATGATGTCCTGTGAAGGGGCAATGTGAGTGTTTCCCTGAATGAACATAGAATGAAGACACTTTGGATATATAAACACATATTGACAAGTGATATTGAATTAAACCGATAGATCCTTACACATTTAGATTATGGTGCCACAGTTTAGTATAATTTCCTTACAGAGGGAATAAAACAAAAAATTCAAATTTTACAGAATCGTTTCATAAGATTTCATAACAATGATATAGGTAGACAAGAGCACGTCACTCTTTTCTATATGAGAGAAGATATTTTGAAAAATTTCATTGCT